TGAAATTCAACTTTACTTTCTTGTTCTTCTTCAAGTTGTTCACGTGTCTGATCAAGATCAGCAGTTAAATTACGTATTTGTGAATCTTGACAAAAAAACAGAAAATGAATGTTTTGAACAAGAAATGAAATTCCGGAATACTTACGAACTGAACCTTTACCACGTGTTTCATCTTCTAAAGCACGTTTCGCTTCATCAGCTTGTTGTTGTAATACAACTTTTGATTTTTGTAATATACTAATTTGATGTTCAAATTCTTCAACTTGTTTAATTAAATCTGAATTTTCTGTAACTAATTTTGATTTTTGAAGATTGAAATCATTAATTTGTCTATGACTATCTTCAAGTTTAATTTGTAGATCATTTAATTGTTGTTCTAATTGTTTGGAAAGTTTTTCAGCTGTTATTTTACCTTTTTGAAAATGTTCAACTTGTGTACGTAAATCATCAAATTCAGATTTTGTCATTTGTTTTTCTTTTTCTAATTTATTTTTTAATTTTAATAATTGATCAATTTGTTCACCCATTTCATTAACAGCATCTTGATGTTTTTTTCTTAATTGTGCAGCTGTTGCTTCATGTTGAAGATTAGCTTCTTCTAAATCACGACGAAGTTTAGCTAATTCACCTTCACGTTTTTTATTCATTTCAACTTGTGTTGATGTTGCACCACCAGCTTCTTCCAATCGATCATTCATTTCATTAATTTCACGTGCTAAATCCGCTCGTTGTTTTTCAATTTTATTTCTTGATTGCCGTTCATTTTCTAATTCTTCTTCTAATTCTTCAATACGTTGTTGTAATTCTTTTAATTTTTTACCAAGACCTGTTGCTTGTCCTTGTTCATCTTCAAGACGTCCACCCATTAATTGTATTTCTTGATCTTTACGTTTAAGATTTTCTTCTAATTCACGTTTAACACGTTCTAAATCTTCAAGATTACCATGTACTAATTTAAGATCGGTTTCTATTTTACGTTTGGATTTATCTAAATCAGCACGCGCTTTCTTTTCACGTTCTAAACTATCTTCTAATTCATCAAGTGTCTGTTCAAGTTTGATCTTTAATTTATTTAAATGATTAACTTTATCCTCTTCAGCTTGTAATTGTTCTGTTGTCTTGGCATTTTGTTCGTCAAGACGTTTACGTTCACGTGTTATTTTAGCTATTGTTTCATCTTGACGTGCCATTTCATCTTGTAATGTATGTATTTGATTATCACGTGTTTTACATTCATTTTCAGATTTTTGTAAATTTAAACGCATATCATCAATATCTTTTTTTAAACCATCAATATCATGTTCAAGTTTTTTACGTTTATTATTTGATTCAGATGTTGCATCTTCTTCTTCAACAATACGTTCTTCCATATCTTTAACTTGTTGTTCAAGATCAGCTTTTTGTGTTATTAAACGTGCTAGACGTTCTTCAGCTCCCGATGTATTTGTTCGTTCAGCTTCCAATTGTAAATACATATCATTTTTCTCTAAAATAATCAATTAAATTCGTTTTTTTTTATGTGTGTAAATTCTATACCTCGAACTAATTTTGCATTGCTTTCTTCAATTTCTTTACGTCGTTTTTCTTCTTTTTCAAACGCTTCTTTAAGTGCTTTATATTCATCTTCAAGTTTTTTCATTTCTTCTTCTTGTCGTGCAACAGATAATAATGGTTTTACTTTCGTATATAATTTCCACCATGGCCAATTACGTAATGATAAATATTTACGACAATTTCGTTGTAAAACAGATAATGCTAAACGTTGATCTAACATTTTCTTATAACCTTTACGCATAATATAACCACGTATTTGTGCTTGTAATGTTGCAATTATTTTTGATAATGCTTGATCACGCATATCTTCAAGTTGACCTAAAACACCTGCTTTGAAAAATACTTTTGTTGTACCTAATCGATATAATTCATCAGATAATTGACAATCTTTAAGAATATTTTCTGTTGCTTTTTTAGCATCAACAAATCCTGATGGTATTGAATTTGGTGCTAATATTGAATAACGTTGTTTAAATTCTGAATAAATCATACGATTTGGAAAACCTTTACGGCAAATACGAATGCCTTCAAGTACACCATTACAATGAAGTTGATGAAGAACCAAATGTGAATCAAGTACTCCGCCAGTTTTAACTTCATTTGGAATAATACAACGAACAAAATGTGGATGAGTTTGTTTTAAATTTGACATTAATTTATTCAATTGTTCCTTAAAAAATATATATTTAGTTTTTATGACAAAGGACTCTTTTTTTTCGCTTATTGGTACTTACACGATGAGTAGCTGAAATAGTTTGCATACTGCCGCCTTTCTTTTTACCACTAGATCTGCCACCTTCTTCTTCAACAACATCAGCATAGAGATGACTTAACATTGGATTTTTTGATTTAGCAAAAAGAGTAGCACTAAAGACAAAATACTATCAATAAAAATCCTTTATTTTTCTCGGTGTACATACACAGTCGTATTGATAGGATCTTTATTTTTTTCAAGCCAACCTGTAGCTGTATAGGGAACTGAACCAGCATAGTGATGAACTTCAAAATTTGCGTCTGCCTTGGTTTTAGATGGTTTTGGTTTACCAAATTGTGGGTGTTTACCCAAATGATTATTATAAAGTTTTTCAACAAATGTTTTATCTGTAGCTTTTGGTACAATACATTCTTCTTCAAGAATGGATAAAATACCCATTGGCTATACATATATATTCAAATAATTAAAAAATAAATAATGTATTTCTTACCTTCTCAATAAGATCAATACAAGCTTGTAAATCCATACCAAAATCAATAAATTCCCATTGTATGCCTTCTTTTTTATATTCTTCTTGTTCTAAAACAAACATATGATGATTGAAGAATTGTTGAAGACGTTCATTTGTATAATTGATACATAATTGTTCGAAACCATTGTACTAAATTATTCAAAAATAAATATAATACAAGTAAATCAATATATATATATATATAATTACATCAAAAATTTCGAAACCAGCAATATCAAGTACACCAATAAAATATTGTCGTTTAGCTTTAACATCGAGCGTTACATTAACACGCTCGACTAACCAATTAAACATACGTGAATAGATCTAAGATGGACAAAAAAAGAGTTCAATAATAAGTTTCTTTTTTTGGAACATACGGATTTGGAGAGAGCACCAATTGAGTTAGTAACTTGATCTTTACTTTGACCTTTATTAACATATTCATTGCCGACCTTGATACGTGGTTTAAGTAAACCTTTGATAAGTTCAGCTGCTTCAATACCAAGAAGATGAGCAACTTTTTCACAATCTTCAGTTCCTTCTGCTTCAGCTTGTTCTTCTCGTGGTCGTTGTTTCCATTGAGAATTACCAAAATGCATAATAGCTGCTGTACATTTGTACATACTAAGTTTTTCTTCCTTTTTATTTCAAACATCATTTTTATTCTTACTCATCTATTTAAATTACATCTTAAAACTTACTTTTGTAAAACCAAGAATATCAAAAGCTTCATCAGTAATTCTCATTTCTTCTGCATCATCAACATTATCAATAGTAAGCATACCTTGTGCTACATAATGATATTTTCCTGGATCATTTTCAATAAGACATTCCTCTGTTAAAATATTAACAAAAATATTTAATTTCTATGTCAACTATTTTGCAATATAACTTACTATGAATTTCCGGAAAAGCATTTGAACATATTTGATAGAAAATATGATAATTACGTTCAGCTAAAATAAATTATTAATTGCAATTTGAAATAATAATTTTGAATTTTATGAAAATACCTGGTTGCTAAAATACAAAAAAGACTGAATATTTAATTTATCGAATTTTATTTAACATACTTGAAAAATGACACGAGCTTTTTCAAGTAAATAAACTTCAATATCAGCACCAGCAATTTTTCCTGAACTTCCAAAATGAATACGAATAAATTTACCCTAAGAAAATTAAATAACAACAGACAAGTATCTATTCATATAAAGAAAAATTACCATGATTTCAAAGGGTATTCAAACATGCAATTATTTTTTATTCAAACCAAAATTCAATACATGCCACCATACATAAATATGACTCTCGATTTATAAACTTACGAATCGAGAAGAATTATTATTTCGACTCGTTTTAGCATTACCAAATGCTTCGAGTACAGGGTTGGATTGAACAATTTGATCTTCGAGAGTCATAGTTTTCTATGATGAGGAAAAAACAAGGTGTGCATGCATTAAGGTAAGGTTGTGAACAGGTATAGGTAAGGTATGTGATTGAGGATAAATTAGGGAAAGTGGGTGTAAATCAAATCAAAACGGGGTTTTTTGTTATGCTGTGCTGCGGTATTTTTAATAATCCGCAACTTACGAATCGAGAAGAATTATTATTTCTAGTTGTTTTTGCATTACCATATGCCTCAAGTACAGGATCTAATTATTAGGAAAAGATAGTTTTTTATTAATATGAATTCATTTCTTTTCAATGTCAGCCTTACTAGCTGAAACAATTTGATCTTCAAGGGTCATTGTTTTCTTTAAAAAATCCCCACAAATAAAAGAAAATGAGATGTCAATGGTGAATAATGGACTGGCCTCTGAATACATTACCTTTCCATCTTCTTTCTTAGCACCGGCAGCAGCAACCAATGCAAAATATTGAATGACCTTTTTAGTATTTTCTGTTTTGCCTGCACCTGATTCACCTGTAATTAACATTGATTGATTTTCACGATCTAAACACAATAATACAAATTTCATTATTTCTTTTTATTTTCGTATTTTCTAGAAAATATCAGTTGATCTTTTAGATAATTAGTTTTTTCTTTCTTATCAATTTTTACATCTGAACAACAAGTGAGAACGTTTGATCATTTATCAATGTGTCTTATTTCTAATGTATATAGAAAATACAGAAGTATTAGAAGTAGTTGCATGTTTGATCATTTAATGAATATCTTCTACTTCCGTTACACGTCTGTTCTTTTTTGACGTTATTATTAATCGATAGTGGATAACGTTTGCTGTCTACTCCTACACATTGTATAAAAAGAAAGTAGTAAAGATATGTCTAATGTCGATATGAAGTCGTAATCAAAGAAAATGTCAATAAATGTTTTTTTTTGTTATTTCATATGGTCAAGTGTATTAATGATGAACATTCCAAAAAGACAAATTTGTTTAGATTAGAAATCAATCCTTGTCTTCTTACCTCGAAGCATATTCGAATAAGCATTGTCCGAAATAGCATATAAATGTGGTGGTACTTCAGTACGTTTTCTACCACGATACATCATGACTACCTTCATTGTATAAATTGGTAAACGTTTATATGGATTGATAGCAACACAAAATAAACCTGAGTAGGTCTAGAAAATGAAATAATTATAACAAAAAAAAAAAGAAGTTCTTTATTCATGATACATACATAGATGAGCCATCGTTGATAACGATCACGTAAATTATATAAAACTGAAGCATCATTTAAATATGTTAAATTAGCCATATCATCACAGCAAGTGAATTTAGGTGGATTCATTTGCTGTACATCATCCTTTTTCAATGTAACGCTCTAAAAAGAATTTATAATAGATATACAATGTCTTTCTTAGTTGTATTTTTAACAAACCTCTCCTTTGTCTGTTTTAGCTGTTACTTCTTCACCATTTGTAGCAGTAATTTCAGCAGCAACAAAAGATTCTTTTGCATCAGGAATCCAACATTGCTTTTTACCATCAAAAGGTTGAGCCTGAAGTTTAATACGTTCTTCAGTTGATAGTGCCAAATATTTCATTGACTCCTTCAACTCCTGATCATTTGGATCGTAAAGAATACTATAATATATACGAAATTATTAATGAAGCATGAATATATACTCATAATCATTCATTACCTTTCGATCGACATGATTAGTTTGAAGAAATATGTTTAATACAATATAATCTAGAAAAAAAAGTTCTGAATTGTAGTTAGCTAACATGTCGAGAGATTTGTTTTGCCTGTACCTGATAATGGGTGCAATGCGCCTGGTTATGTTCGTATTAAACGACTATCTTCTTGGATAACAACTAGTTATATACACTCTCTTTTTTTGTCTTCCGAGAAAAAAAACGGATTGTAGACAAGAAATAGATCTAATTTTTCTTCTTTTATTCCCTTTTTTTCTTTAGCTTGCTGATTATAGCAAAATGCTTACATTGGTTGGTCGAATTAAAGGGGATATATCTCCAAAATTGGTAAATATTCCTGGACGAGCTATGATATTCACTTTTTCTGTCTCTCTATGTCTCTCTCCCTCTCCCTCTCTCTCTCTGTCTCCTTTTCATTCCCCTATTCCGCCAACGACCACTGGTAGTAATAATCATAAAATTATGTACGTGCCGACAAGATATTGAGCTAGATGAGAGAAGAAAAAAAAAAGATTCACTGACATCTCTTCTTTCGTCAGATATTTATGGAAGTGCATATTGCATGTAACGCAAAAATTCTACGGGTGTCTCATATTATGTTGTTCTTACAATGTGTATATATTGTACATATACAATATAAGCAAATGTGCGAACAGAATAAAGAATGATTACATAGATTTCTGTTTCCAATGATTCATTATTAGATGCACGTATAAATAAAATGCTATTAGTTTGTTCGGTTTGATTAAAGAAAGGATATATATTATATATATAATGCTTATTTATAGCTAATAAACTAATATATAGATATCTTTAACCTTGAAATAACAAATAAATCTAAAACATAACTCAACGAAAATCTAATTTATCTTCGTTGTAAATAAATAAACAATAGACAAAATCTGTAAACTATAGAATATATTACAAAAGTGTGTGTACTCAAATACAGATATAGATTATTTATCTGTCTGAATATTGATAGGATGTTGTTAGTCTTCAGGTATTTATATCAAACAAAATTTCGTAGGGTCTAATAAAACATATTTATTGGAAGTCTTAATCGACTTTAATAAAAACTATGTTAGTATACTATCGCTATTCGTATACAGCTGCTAATCAATCATGTCAAATAACAGTTGTGTCAAAGAAAAAAGATATCAAATCATTCTGCTGACTGTTGTTGTTTTTTTTTTGATATAACAAATGTACCGTTTTTATTAATAAAGAGGTTGGAAACAAATTTTTATATTGTACTATAGCCTTTTGCACTTGAATAATACGTCATCAAACAAAAATAGCAAATGATGCGTCTGTATATTCCCTATCTAACCTTGATAAAATCATATACACTCCATCAATAATTCTAATACTATTCTTAGCGTGTTGCTAAACTATTTTT